TTCCCAGAACTACTTGTCCCTTTATCTGCTTTATGTCGACGTCGAGACACCGTTTCCCAACCCCCGTGTCTGTCACTAATGCTATGCGTCGCTTAGCGGCATTTTCCGATCTAGGACATAGCCAGGATCTTAAATTCTGGTGAAACTCCATACGCTCAAGATGCCCAAATAAATTTTTGGCCTTTGGGAGACTCTCGATTTAAAACAGTGCAAGGCTGACGCCCGGTATCGCCGTCAGGCGTTCATTTCAATAGCTGGCTCTCAGCACGAAGCGAAACGTATTCACGCTTAGATCTGAATCCATATAACCACTTGTCCTTTATAAGTGGGCCTGAAGTAACTCATAAATTCCTGTTCTCTAATATGTTGGATACCATTACGGAAGCTATAAGGTGCACGTCGTACAACTAGATATTTTCCTGCGAAAATAATCTCTAAAAAATAGTTTGCTCACACGATTAATGTCGGGCCGGTTTACTACATCAGCACTGCTACCGCTATCGGGGCAAACATTTCTTATTTAAAATGTCTGACAGTGCTTTTGTATTAGCCAATTGACGTGTTAATTGCTATCTGAGGTACTGATGAGAGGACAGCGGATTTGCTAAATGATTTCTCAAGTTTCGCGTTGTCAACTTCTTTCGAACACCTCTCTCAATAAACAAAGTTTGCGCTCACGCGTCCCAAATACGCTGAGCCGCCAGCTTTTCTTCAGCAAAGAATCTAAGTAGATTTACAAAAACTAACTTCAAGATTCATCTTTGAACTTGAAATCGAGTTGAAATTCCACTCAATGCACCATGAAGTTACAAGGGGTCAGTAGAGAGCACCTTCAAACGTTATGTACAAGCAAAAAGATCGTAGCAAAAAAAAAACACCGTTATTTTTATTCTAACTTAATGCCTGCAAAAGTTGTCTCCTAGTTTTTCAAGCTGTCTCGACAGGCGCTCCTTCTATGTAACTTTGCTTCTTCTATAACACTGTACAAGTTGTTATAAAACTTTGGCATCTTAACTAATAGATCCAAAAATCGCGCTAGGAAGTATAACAGCAGAAATCAAAATATTGGATGTGTATCGGATACGTGTAGTCCGAGTATGGGGCCAGCGCGCTGATGTCGATCAAGTTTAATTCTATATGACAAGTATTTCAGTTTCAGAATAAGACTTTCAATGGATTAGGCCATTCTAGGCTGATAAAATCATTGTTTTCTCTTAGTGTTGAGAGGTGTTCAGTTTTCTAAGCAACAAGCTGTCTCGAACAAAAGAATCCTTCCGTGTTGCATTCAACAACAAATGAAGTTCTTGTTTTTGTTTTTTTTTTCAACATTTGGGGCTGACCCGCATGATGACGGCCTTGGTCACCGTCAATTAAATTTTCTATTTTTAATGTAGATATAAAAGACGCGATATTCCACATAGGGTGTAAACATGGTTATACGTTTCCTTCATACGGCTGAAGAACGACTTAGTCTATAAATAACGTACGTAGATTCTGTATTCGGCATTTGACGCGTTTATAAGAATAAACAGAAGACAAGTAAGTACTTTGTTTAAGTTGAGAGTGTTCAGGCGCTAAAAAGGAGAAGTTAAATTTTTTTGAATATCTAACTTGATGGGTACATAGTAATTGGTCCCTTAAACGAAGTGAAAGTTTGATCAATGAAACTGAACTTTGTTAAGTTGACCCCGCTTGAGTCAAGGTAATTTATCTAGTTTTCTAATGACTACATCATGTAGTGCCAAGGACAATAATGCGAACATTAACACAAGCATGGTAAAGCACGTTTTTAGGGTATAAAGTAAATATCCATACAAACATTTGCTGCACTTTAGACACATCTATTATAGCAGAAATAATCGGAAGTGCTTCTCTGAATCTCTTGCAGAAAACCTTAAAATTCTTAGTGCTACCCAGTGCATCTCTAATGTCAGACATATACCGAACGCCACAAATATTCTCTACACTTCCATATCTCTAACTGTGCCGTTGCCTAACTATAAACGCATCTTCCCAGAGGAAACACGTGCCCATTCGTTGATCTTTTTCTTGGATCGACTTCAGGATAGTCGCCTTATTCTCAACCACCAACTAGCTGACCTCAAGATAACTCGTCATACCCACAAAAGGGTTGAGATGACTTAGGGGTCAGACAGCAAAACGCGAGGATAGCAAGACCTAAGTAAGTACACCAAGCGTCATAGATATGTTACTCACTGACAGGACCAAATCACAGGCAACGTCATCGTTCTCGCTCTGTTCTGCAAAGAAAATGCCTAGCAGCGGGTTGCCAATTGGCCACTTCCTCCCGTGTTTCCTGTCGTGGTTTTGTGTGGAGAGTAGACTTCAAGCAACCCCCGCACATCCCTTCGTCAGCCAGTCCAATGGACAAGCACAGGACAATACTCGCTCGGAAAAGGATTTACAGGATAACGAGAACAAATTGCCAACTTCCGTAGTTGAGTTAGCCTTAAAGGCCTCAAGATCCTTCTTGGACCTCGTTCATCATGATCTCCAACCTCTCAAGCGAAAACCACCATCTACATATCATTGTCTAACCTGCTAGTCGCTGTGATTACGTTCTTAGATACTATCTAGCCTTCGATAGGTTTTCTCCCCTGCAATGCCATCCCCTAGTAACTGAAGTAAATAAATCGCTTTGTTTAGTAGAAAAGAAAATCTATAATGACGTATTTTGTTGTTGTGCGGGCATAGTGATTGATTATGCTCTTTGAGCTACGTCTTATTTGAACAAGCATGCGTACCTTTTGCGGCCTTCGATTTGTTAGGAATCGAAAAAGTCTAAGTTGTGCAGTGCTTTGTTTCTTGTTTGTTGTTTAATATTTCATATTATTTACAAAATTTTCATGTTAGGCCAAAATTGGCTAGCTACATGACCGCCTTTGGCCATATGTAGTGATTATCTTACGTTAAACTATCCCTTACATATGGCCAAAGCAATAACTCCAACGTAATGTCAAATAGCTTTTCTGAAATACCAAGCATGTATAGTTCGCTTAACTTTGACCACTTAAGTTTGTATATATGTGTGAAGCAAAGTCTTCAGAGTATATAATTTAGGAATTTGCGTTCCGCAATGAAGTATGATCGTCAAGAGGTATCAACCTATTCGGAGGATCCGTCTTATCAGTTAGCATGGTTTCAGGCCTTGTTAGCTTGTTTGAATAGGCGAAGTGAAAGAGGTCCAAACATAGATCAAGGATATAGTCGACTACCTTTAAACACTAGGGCATATTATATGCTAGCGATGTGGCTTACTTCATTTTGATATCGGCGGCCGCGGCGACGATTTCGCCTCGTCCTAGACGACAGGAATTGATTGAAGCCACTATTAACGCAGTAGCCATAGCGGTCCTAGCCTTTTCGTTGGAGGTATGCGTGTGTGTCATAGATGGATCCACAATGCAGGTGCGTGGAAACGACCCCATTAGCATTTACATTACCATCCCGTGATATTATCGGTATATGGGGTGTGATTGGATGTGGTGGTAGCGATGCTGTAGGCACCTGGTGCAAAGTGAGGGATCGCACAGAAGGCAACGAACAGAGAAGGCGCATCGTGTGAATGCGTGATGTTCTCGCTAATATATATGGGACTGAGGTTCATATAGCAGTCGACGATGGATCCCCAATAGCCGAAAAGGCGAGAAGCTCGTCCATATCGACCCAGCCCTTCACAACCAGCTCCCCCTCCCCCGCCCCCTCCCCCCAAAAAAACCGTCCTCATATGATTAAGAAGGGGTGCAGCCAGTGCTACTTACATCATTATATAGTTCTGTCTCAATTTCTTCACTACAGAAAACACCGTGGAGACGCTGAAATTAATCTGCCATCTGTAAAAATGGCAATATCATGTTAATATATGTATAGCACGAAGAAGGCGTCTAGCCGCTGCACGCGACGCACCTAAGTTGCATGACTCTGCCCAATATGAAAAATGACATAAAACGTGGACGACACTAACTTAACTGATATGAAATCTCTTATTTTTTTGAAGTAGACCAATGCGGCTGACCTTATTGATACCTGTTTGATGTCACAATTAGTAGCAGATGGCATTGTTAAGCGGTTCAACTTTGCGACTCGAGGTAAATAAGAGGGATTAATAGGGTTTGGAAAAGGGGTGTAAGAATGTATTCCCTATCGTTTTACGCACGTAAAGTTAAAGCTACTGCATATATTTGATATTCGACGACATACTCGATAATCAATGCGAAAGCTATTATTTAAAAAAAAAAAAAAAAAAAAAAAAACATTAGTACACGCAAGCATTTGGCAGACTATCAGGTCCAGCATTATAAGCCTATCAAATAGCTAGCCTCAACTACTTCCTAGTATTTTAACCGCTGTTTTATGTTGTCCAATTAGGACTAAATATCAAAATTGATCTATATTTAAGGATATGACATATGCGACATATAATTGACAGGCCACTACCGTTCGATGCTATTGGCCTCGCCAGAACCTGTTTGCCGAATATTATCATCCGACAGCTACCGCTAAGCCTTAGGCCTATGGTTACATTTGTATACGGGTCAAATTTTCGACCGATTAAAGGATACGAGCAAAATAATGGAATCAGACCAAGTTATAGTCGCTCTATCGTATGATGATCTATCCGAGGCTATACCAGCACGCACGTGAAAGGGCCGCAATTAGCGGTAGTAATTAAGAGTATTTTGCTAAAGGTAAAGTTTTCGATGTGAAACGACGGATGCGAGCAGCGGGCAAAGGCCTCTTACAAATTTTTAAAGTAAATTTCCTAGTTGATACTAACATTGTAAATTGAGCAAGTCAAAATTACTACTCAGGAAATTTTTTGCCCCATATATGACCACAATTTTTGTATAAATGTTTAGTATTTGAAATGAAAACACCGTAAATTAATTCAATGACAAATAGCAGCATTTATCAATCACTTTTTCATAGATTTCCTTTTTTCGTTCCTTCTTTTCTTTTTTTTTTTTTTTTTTTTTCTGTTTTTTTTATGCTTAGATTGGTTCGAACGCGATCGTATGATAGTTCTCGCTCTTTAATATCTGCTATATGCTTATATATAATTATTTCGCTTTAGCGAACTTCACAAAAGCGTGTATAGATCATTGGTATGTATTATATAATTAATATTATTATCTTTATTTATGTATAACTGTCTACTGTCGACTGGGACTTAATTACACAAACATTCACACGTTCAGTCGAAAAGGCCACTTGCCTTTCTGCCAACTTTTCATTACTAATATTATTTCCAAAATGTGCTACTATAATCTATAATAACAAAACTTTATTGTACACATGAACCTATAGTACCTTTTTGTTTCCATTATAGTGTCTCATAATTATTTGTCTATCGGCGCGCATGACGATCAAATAATAGGTCGCTGCGTTCTTATGTTTTTCTCCTTTTATCCTAGTGGTATTAAATGGGTCGAAAAAAAAAATTGTGGGTCCGTTCTATTGTTATACGCATTCGCTTCAAAACATCATGTTCGACACCCCCAATCAAGTGATATTGTATATAGTTATCTGTCGTTGTTCTGAGCCAATTTTTAAAGGTATCCATGTTTATGTCTGTATGTAAAACGCCGATAAGGGTCTAATTTTCCCCAATTTTTTTTGCATTTTTTAAAGAACCAATCTTCAGGCAAACGAGTTTCCCACTTCGTCGATGTACCCAGCAGAATATAAAATGATGTGCGCGTGATAAAAATCATGAAAATACCACAACTCCATGTTATTATCCGTTTGCACAAAATGGTCCCATTATCCAGCCAGAAAAACGACCAAAAACCATAGCGTCTAACATAGCAACTGGTGCGGCGATGTCCCTCAGTATAAAAAAAAAATCAGCCCGTGAATATTTATAAAGGCAACGTATTTTCTGTTAAACTAACAGACAAAACTTCCCGCCATTGCCACCACTTATTTGCCACTCTACAATGCGGTTACCCACCAATTCTACTGTTCGCTTAAAAACGCTTACTATATCAAGTTTTTACTTCTTTTTTACTGTTAGAACAGAGCGGTGGTACATAGAAATCCAATACTCGTTATACATGTATACATATATTCATTACTGAAAGATCATTAAGAGAAGATTTTTTGAGCAGAATCAGGAACTTTAATTTTTTTTGTTTATCAATGACGGTCTATGTTCAAAAATACCATTCGATTTTACTAGAGACGATTTTGCCGTCCGAAATGTAGGTATCTTATCTAATTTAAGGTTTTTCTTTTCTTACTTGTTAATGAACATAAAAACCTTTCTCAATATTTCAGTTGAAACTCTCTACAATTGCTTAGAGCTACGGGTACACCATTTTTTTGACACCATCAAATTGAAGTTTGATGTGTCGTCAAAAAGTATAACGCACCAAATCGACGCCGAACGATTTAATTATACATTTGTCGTGGCACCATATATAATAATCAATTACTTGTTATAATCACGCATTATAATTACAACCATGATAATTATATAAGCTATAATACATATAGGAAACGAATTCAATCGGTGAGCTTCATTTTTCATTTGCTATGTACATGCTCGCTTCATTCCTGTTTATGCTCATATATAATATATGTTAGTTCGTTTCGCGTATCGAGGCCTAACATTACCACCAGTATTGTAGGATTGACGCATGATTAATTTTAGGATATACGAGTAATAATAGGTCTTCACTAGTTGAGGTCGAAACAGGTTGCATCGTTTTTTCGATCATCGTCGGATTATCACATACGGCACAGAAAACGCACGGTACCCTTGTCTTTTCACGTTTGCCTTATAGTTTATCGATGTATTTTGAGTACTTTAATGGATTTACGCAGAATTCTATAGCACAACTATTGTTGTCATTAGCTACTTATTACGTCGTCAATTTATATAGTAATCCTTTACGTATACACGTACAATAGAGGAATAGCGGTACGTTCCTTGGAGCAGTTGCGCGGCGCGCCAGTCATCAGAGGGTATCACGTCAATTCTTGGAATAGTCTCACTGAGAAGTAATGGGTCAGAATGCGGCATGGAAAGCATCAGGGTTTAGAGAAAAAATGCACGTAACGAACGATTAGTACGACTAGCGCGTAGTCATGCAATTTCCCAATGGGTGAGAGAAACTCGTTATCACTTCGGGCATTTTTCGTCAATGCTCTGATACGGTTTGAATGATCCTGCTCGTGTTTTTCGTTAGATCAAAGAGTTTCAACGATAGGAAGCCCTTGACGTTGGTGAGTCTGCCCTATACACTAATAGACAGATTCGTAATCGAACCATGGTTGCGAATACTTGGGAAGCACCTGTTCGTGTGTCATTTTTTTGAGAAGTAATTTTTCAAGGTTACTAACGTTCTATAACGTTCCGTAAGACATTCGAGCAACCGAACGTATGGGCAGCTTTTAGATATCTATAATATATGAATTTAATAGTATACAAACAGTAAGGTACATGTGCTACACAACATGCATGATTAAAAACAGAGAGTATACTTATATCCAAATAGATTCGTGAAGGCTGAGCCTCGAACAAACGCAAGACCCGTTCCGGAGCGTGCACAGAAGGCATGGGAAACGCGTAATGGGTTCATAGATTTAATAATGGCATACATTAAAGCGTCAGAGAAGATTTCATGCATATGCAATACTAGAGGTGACTTAATAGAGTGCGCGAAATTTTAAAACCCCTGACTCAAACTACGTACTATTACTTCGGACATTTTCGATATGGGAGCAATGCGAAGTACGGATTCGTCGTTGCTACTCCGAGCAGTCGAGAAGAAGTCCAGCCACCTTAGAACCGACTTTTCTTCGCTAATGGTTATCGAGCGAGGTCGGACCAGACCATAGCTGCCATATTGCCAGACACCTATAGTAGTTTCCGTATTGTAATAATATTAAATCTAAATATCGAGCTTATGAGGCCAAAGCTCTGCGGTAATGGATTTCTCGCCACGGAGCTCCGTTCCATGGTCACCGTCCTGGAAAGCTTTACTAACCTAAATCTAGTGATTTTTTTTTTATGTTTAAGACAAGTTGTACCAGCTTCATCCACTACATGCAATCTCTTTGGTCTAATAACTCAGTTTCGACGACTCGAAACGCCTCACGGCATAAGTTTTGCCCATCTCCAATTGAGGAAAGACGAAATCATCATCATCATCATCATCACCATCAACGTATACTTGGACCTTTAAAAAGTAAGGTACTTACGGGTCATGCGCCTGACCGAACAATTTCTAACATTACTTAGCACTCAATGTTTTCTCAGTGTATATCGTAACATCTTTCTCGTTGTCCTTCATTCAGGCGCGTTCAATGTTATTGCAATTTAACTCTTGCAATATTTTGTTGGGCTGAAAGAATTAACAAACAAATCTGCGTCACGACACTTGTATATTCAACGTAATGTTTGCACACTGCATCGGTGCATCCCCTTCGTCTCTTTTCTTTTTACATCTTCTGTTTTCCTATTGTATATTATTACCTATTATTGTTTAACCTAGTGCGCTGGTTCTGCATTGTAACGGAAGAAAATGGAAAGAAAGTTACACTCAGTCTTCGTGAGCTCGCTATTCGACTCATTGAGACCAATAAGACTGGTTTCTCTGCGCTAACTGTCTCACAGGAGAATACTATAAGATTTAGCTATGAGATGTATGTTTATGCTTGTATAATGCGAAGGCGAGCTTAAAAGAAATTTCCGCCGTAAAAAATCGCATTGAAGACAGGCCTCACCTCTAGAACAACAGCACTTTTCAAGATGTCGGCGAATCTGAAGGCTTGATATAGGTCTAAAACTGTACATTCACGTACAAATAATGTCCAATCTAACGTGCTAGATCTTTTTCCGCACCACGTGGCTTGCTCATGTCCTGGCCGTTGTGACTGCTGACGTTGGAGTTACATTGTAAGACTGCTGATCAGTTGTGTAGGGGCTCTTCCGATCTTCCATCGCAGCTAGATTAAGCGCCTGACTGCTTCCTACTGGAGACCATTGACCATGTTGCGACGGACTGTGATATCTTTGAGGTGCTTCTGTGACACCCCCGTGATATTTTGCTGCAGGTGACATAAAGGCTTCTGCCGGTCCACCGAAATAACCGCTATCGGTACCGTAGTATCTGAAATGAGCAGAAAAAAACACTAGGTTTTTTTTTCACAGAAGCTAGCCTCCGATAATCTGAACATATGTTTATATTTTTAAACTCAGGAACACTGTAAAATTTCTTTGATGTGCCATATGTGCTAAATGTATTTCAGCTGGAGCACAGTCTCGCGACACAAACCTATCACAAATTTATGTAACCTGTGCGCTCTGTAGAAATACGCATTTAAAATCAACATCTTGTAGTTTGCCTAGTCATTTAAACTTAATTAACAGTAAAGTTAAATCAGCCCCAATATCAGCTAATACTAACCTGGCGGCATAATCTAATAGGTCGGGGTGCGGGTGTGCCGCAGTGTGAGCCAGTGACCAGATTTTGGGTTTTGATAAATTCATATGATCGGTCTGAGGTTGTGCTGAACTGCCGAGCATCGACATCGTCTGCGTCAAAGCCGGATTGCTACTGAAACCTCCACCTAGATGAGCGACCGAGCTTCCCGACGGCACAGAACCAAACGGGCCTTCACTTAAACTCCCACCATCGGAGCCATGCGTAAGCGGAGTCACTTTTGTGTCTATGCATCCAGCGTACTTTCCGCCGCTGGTTAAATGGTACTTGCCGATTGAATCAGACGTTCCGCTAAGCAGTGAGCCTGGCGGCATGAACCTGGATCCGGGATCGGTTGACGCTGGATGGTAACCCGAACGCAAAGGATCTGGACAAAAAGGATAGACAAGTACACAACGCACATTGATTAATGTGAAAATAAAATATTTCTATGCATAAAGGCACCAACAGAACGTAAGTTAATTAGCTTCGAAAAATCGGAAAATTACTCCAATTGAGGTTTATGATGAAGTACGACACAGGTTTTTCACGGATCAAGTTGAGAAGGTACATAATCTGGGGGCTCATTTTTTCAAATACGCTCTCTCGATTAGACTGAATATGGCCACGTGTGAAATTTGGCCTTTTTTTTACCTTCTTTATCGACTCTTGTCCACAGGAAAGTCTGCCCTATTTCCTAGAGAAGTATCTACACTTGTTCTCTTCAAATAAAATTGGAGTATGCCGCCACCATTACTAGCACTAGCGGCGCTTGCCCCATTGCAACAGCGGAGGCTGTCGTTCAGTCAACTGCCTTTCAGTTTGCTTCGCCTGACTGACGCGATATGACGTCAATCCTTCAAACACTCGGCAACGCCTTCCGAAAATCTCGATGCTACCATCCTTGTACATGTATGAACGACAGTTAAGTGTCCACGACCATGAACTACCAAAGGGACTTTCCTAGTGTTACATACAGACTCACACACGTACCCTTTCTAAATCCAGCCCTCGGTGAGTGTCACTATGGATCGGGCCTCATTCTGTGCCATTGCAGGGTGGACCGATATTAAGAAAGCCGCTTAATGAATGATTGCGTTCACTAGCACTCGACGAAGCCCTCACGAGTTCTCAGAGTAAAAAAGGGTTGTATGAGAAGAAGCACCTCATAAACATCGATTGGCGACTATAACTGCCATTACAATACCAAATTATCCATATATACTGCGGTCCGTACATGCGTTAAAGCAAAAACAGACTAGTCCCTGTTTGTCTTCACCGTCTCAAAAAATACGTCTATTATTATTTTATATACTGAGTAGTTCTGAGGTTACGTTAAATGATAAAGTAATTTCGGAGAAATTACTTTATCATTTACGTACGGAGAAATACAGTCTTATTTTCTGTATCTGAAAAAACAATTGTGGCTCTCTGTACGACAGCGTTGTACAAAAGAGTCTGAGATTTTACACATTTCCTAGGTTATCAGGGGGTGGTCGTAGAAGGTAATTAGGTGCTCATCCCCGAACTAGTGGGGCTCCGCGGCGTCCAACACATGCACCGACTTTTTTTTTATCGGTCAAATGAAGCTTCTTAAACGATTTTAGGCGAAAAGCTAAGCCCACAGATGTGACAAACAAAGACTTGCTGCGCAGGTACTAAAGTTGCATTAAATTTTTGAGGACATCTTGGGTAGGCCAGGGTTGTGTATATGCTGATGCAGGTACACTTGTAACTAGAAAGAACGTCTACGGAGGGTTTAAAGCTGAAAAAGTGGTACGACGTCTTATGGCAGAATAAATACTGTAGCTCTTGATATAAGGGTATATTAGGTCGAATCTAGAGGTCTGCGTAGCTGGAAAACAGGTGTGGTAAGTGAAGTAGTGTCGGAGGCAACAACAGAAAGCAAAAAGTTATTCCGATTTAAAGTTGAACTATTGGATGTTTGAGGCCTGAGTCAGCAAATTTGATAGGAACTCTAACTATTCTGAAATCAGATGAAGGTAGCAAAACGCTTCTTTTGATCGATAAAGATTTAAATTCTTATGTATACATAGGTCGTTTCTGACAGGTCCGAGAGGTACTACCTGAGCATATAATAGACACGAGCTTGATAGAATATAGATACTGCGGCCCAACTGTGAACTTGGGATAAACTGTAAAACGGTAGTATAGAAGACAAGTTCCATAATACATGAATTTTTATTACTTTTATATGCTATCACAATATCGGTGCGTCAGCAAATGTTTTTTTTTTTTACATAGAACTCTTATTTTAGAAAACGAAAGACCGGAACAGATTGCATAAGACAGAATAGATTGCAGAAAATAACGTGGTATTAATAACATGTTGTAACAACCTGCTTAACTACTAACATCAAAAACTATTGAATAGCGCTGAGGAAAATCCTCCTCTTATATGGTCCTATTAGGACATCCTCGGCCTGCCTTGGGACCTTCCTATTACATTTAATTTATAATTGATTATAGATGTATATTGTCTGTTAGGCCGCTCGGTATAAAATTCGAGCTAATAAACTACGACTTCCTAAGCTTTTTCACAAATATGGCCATTTAGTTTTCAATCGAGGCACACACTATTATTTATATTTCTTGGTCACGTAATGGTGGATTATTTATTTCGATGCTGAAGTTTCACGTACGGGAAATTTCTACATCACACTGAGATATGAGCGATTTTTTTTTAGTATGAAATTGTTAAGACTTTGACAAAAATACTAGTTTGCAACAACAACGCCTCGTGGATAACAGAGAATACTCGGCGAACGTTATTCAACAGGGCATACGCTCCGTTAGCTTAATGCTGGCATGCTATTGACTTACGCTGAGAGCCAAGGGTACTCTGTGTATAAAGCTTTATCGGTTCTTCATCCCAGCTGGTACGGTTATGGCACCTTCTTTAACATTTCTTTTTATTATATGGCGTAGGTTTATAACCCAGTGGTAGCCAGGTTTCAACCGGAGAGCCAACGACCGATCGAAAGAGATATGATCTAACGTACCTCACCTTGGGAGCTGGCATACGCTGTTAGCGTATTCTGGTAGGGGACTGAAATGAGCCTAATTACACCGTGGACGCTCCTCTGGATAACCGCTAGGGACCCCTGGCCCTGAAGTCATCCAGAAGTAGAAAGCAAAAGCTCAGCATCGGCTGCTGATTAAAAGCATTTAACTTTTCCCCTGGTTCCTGGATTTTCACCCCCATGATTTTTGCCATGTGAGGTCGTGCGTTGGAGATTCACTTTTATCACAAGCTGCAATTCACCGCAGGAGCTAGTCGCTGTTATAACCTGAGGACGAAAAGAAGCAGGCGATTTTGACCTTTGCCTAAACCATACACCAACTGCTTATACGATCTGATTGAGCCGAACAGGTATGGCATTTCTGCATACTTCAAACCTGAGCGCTAACTTTCATTAACCTTAATACAGGTAGCTTCCGGCACTTTGCTCTAACTTTGATGTTCATTTTCCCACAGCGGCTTTCAAGACACTAATTTGGAAGCTCAAGATTTCTTTCCTGAATCCGTTTTAATTAGGCTTCACTTCGTCGGTAGCTGAGGTTTACATGGCGAGCTGTCTCTGCCGTTGTATTTTCAAAATCAAGCTCGAGTTATTTTCTGATTTTCAATGGCTTTCACTGCAAATGACGTACTGAAAACTTCAATCGTCATATGAGAGAGTGGTCCCAGTTTTCATGAGTACGAGTGCATTTAAAAACAAAAACTTCAATGTATATGTGTCTACGTTTAATGTCTCCATATGTATTCATGATACCCAATTGTCATCCCATGCATTTTTTTTAATCGTACTACCCTAATTTCTTGTAGTAGGTGTTGAAAGGTTCTGCGTGATCCTAGGTGATCAAAGGGAGCGAGAATGGCGGACCCTTGAGTTAGACTTACGCAGACGTTGACGTCTGCAGCCACTCGACAAGTAGAAGCATAACAGCAAAAACTATAACGAACTGTGTTTTTTTGCCCTTAGTAAATCCCTGTATACATACTTGTTATTGCCCAGATAGATCATCGATAGAAGTCGTGGCAATGTATGCATAAATAACGAGGAGAGCAAAGTCGCCCGAATAATCTCATACGGCGACAATTTTTCTCAAAGCGGCCCAGTAAAGCTTACTTCACAACCAGACCACCATGTATAACACACGTGTTAAATACGTACTTTAAATATTTTTCAATTTATGAAGGCAAGGACATCGACGCTAGTAAAAAGCACAAGCACTCAACAGGTTGACTCATCTATACTCCGTCTGCTATTATTTTAGACGATTTATGGTTATCAAATCATAAATAGTCTAACTATTTAGGGCTTTTAGTTGCTCGAATAGGACCAATGAATTTTTTAATGTGTCTAGAGATATTTTGCTAAAGAAATCCAGTGCTTCGTCAGTTTCCGTTTGTATTGTAGTGTTCCATTATCATAGAACCGCTAAACAGCCGACTCGTTGTGTTTTTCATGGTAATTTTTCCACACTCTACGTATTTCGTATGGAGCGGACGCGGGGCATGAAGATAAGCTTACCACTGGACAAGATGTAATCCCGCAGTTAAGAAAGGAGGTAGTCTTGCGACGAATATAGATAATAGAAACAGTTCTTACTTACCTGGCTAGGTTTTTTGTAACTGAGGATCTGGTTTTTTTATTTGAATGTAGATTTACGCCCGACCCCAACAAGCCTACTTTTGAATTTCCCGCCAATCATATCACTACAACTCTCACTCCATCATTACGCAACGTTTTTCGTCTTGTTGACACTTTACCACTGTACTTTAATCCACCTGAGGCTCTGACTTAGAATCAAAAACAATATGTCAGAATCGCTTAGAGAGCACATACATACGAACTATTGTGATAATTATTCGATATGTATTTTTTAATAAATACACAAATGTAACAAGAACTCGAAGGCCTATATTTCGCTATTTGTAGTCCATTCAGGATCGATCTTCAACGGTGTCATGTCCAGTTTCATTTAGGGCTACGCCGTGCGTAACGGCATACTGACGAGTATTCAAGAGGCTATAAATATACTCAGCTAATTAAGCATCTTGCTATTGCTATTATACTATATTATACCCTTAGGTAAACTAAGAGAGAACGTTCGGAGGCCAGACGCCTGCAGGCGTATTTCGAATTTTCTGATAAGTTCGACAGTCAAAAGGACTTCAGAATTTTCCGGATGGCATATTCGCTTGTTTAGCCCTCAACTCATACGTCCAAACCAGCCGTTACAATGAAGAACTGCCTGAGGGCATATCTGCTACCTAATGTTAATTTGTCAAGCCTTTGAATAAATAAGGAACATGTGATGCTAATGCTAGTTTGAATCACCCAAGGTTTCATTATTTCGCACAGCGAACATGTTTGCGCTTTTGCAAATGCGCCCAGAAACCAACCAACCAACCAACAAACAAAATTATGAACGCTTGTAATAAGTAGTACTTGGAATATTCTTAGCGTGCACGAGGTTAAGGACTAGTAATTTATCTTCACCGTCAAAATGGTCGATCTCTGCGGTTTTGGCCGCTCGGTCGGTTGGCGCACAATGTGAGTGTCGTTGACGAAGACGGTCGCCGTTGCGTCGGGGTAAATGGGGGTGATCCATTAAAGAAGGCAAACGCCAACTTCAAAGCCTACGATAGCCGCATGCTTTCTACCTCTTACTGCTGTTTACCTGCAGTGCCCGCGGGACAGGGAAAACCTCGCATGTCATCGGACCATTATTTGTTGACAGTCAACAACGAAGCTGGCCGCCAGACAACGACAAGTGGGAAGCTGAGTGCAGTTGGTAAGCAGCGGCAAGAAATATATCTAACATATTACCCTTTTTGGAGCTCAGATGTTCACTTCAGCTGAGAGCGCTGCCGCCTAGAAGTGATACGATATTAAAATGCCAGTGCGCGAAGACACCTAGTGCAGCATCTTGTCTGCAATCGAGGTCTGCATATATACCTGCATCAACATGTAGGCATATATGCAGACCCGCACCGTTGTGTCTTGCCTTGAAATCTCAAATAAGGAACCTTGGCGTCTTGCAACAAACATTGAAAGGAATAGGTTTTACTAAATAGTATATACCCATTGCCGTGTTGTTTCATCGTAGACGCATGTCTCTAATGAAAATCAAATATAAATAGGGTATAGAACTAAATGCACAAATACATCGGTTGGACGGATCAGCGAATTTCCACCGAACGATCTATAAACAGGTAAGACGAACCGTCTTTGGATACATAAGCGATATATCTGTTACATATCAGCTCTGTAACTTCTTTTTTTGCTCGTGATGATGTTGACAAAGCTTTTGGCGTATTATAATAGAAAGGATAGCATCTTTCAAACCTTCTTGCTCGTTACGTGAAGTAGCTTGATTCCGTTTAAGAGCTTCAGAAATGAGACAATTTTGCCTAGCAGGGAACTTTTGTTGATTTTTATTTAGTTCGAATAATTCGTTATACAGAACGGGTCTCCGTATGGCGTTCGCTGAAGATAGCTATGTAGGACCGAACACATCGAGTATAAATTATCGAAGTGTTGGTGTAGGAACACGTTCATTTTAGGATTCGTAGTTGGGATTCTCGCTCAAATATTGTGCGATCAGGTTCAGATCGTGATTACAGATATTACGGTATAGTACAGGCTCTGAAAAATTAATTAAACCTGTACATAGTCTGGGCAGTAAACAGTACGCATCGATGGCGGGCCTTAAATCAAAGGTTTCCTAGCTCGGATATTTGTTGAATCACCATCCATCAGAAATGCAGGCAGCATAAATGTATTACTGTTAGTGAGGAGTTGGAATTTGAAAAGAACTACTTTCGTCTCACGATCCGATATCACCAACAGAACGTTCATGATCTGCTTCAGGCAATTTTCAAGTTTCCTTAGCGGTAACGATCATGGCCTATTGTGCAACCTATTTGTTTCTAACAATCTGCTAGGTATCAGTAGCGACGAGATAATTGTTGTAAACATTGAATAGTTTCGCCCATATCGTTTCACTGCTAGCGATAGGCCTGCGGACGGACCAACTGATTGTTGGGGGAAAACATTTGTTATCAATAGACTCTGGTCGCCGGGATGGCATCGTCACTTCGTTAATCATCTATAAGTATAGACGGAAAGCTATGAAGTCGAAATAGATAGCATCACGCATGAAGAATGGCAGACTACAGGGAGCGCTTCCCAAAATAGGGACGGTCGATGATTATGGTGCATTAAAGATACATCTGAAAGGAAATACTGGCCGAAGTACTAAACGACCCACTCACACTAAGGTGCTCGGTGCAGACGAATCGGAGTTTCGAAAGTCATTGAACAATAGATTGGCATTATAGTTAACTTACATAATACCACCGGTTATCACCGTCGCACGCATTTTGCGGCAAAGGATTGATACTAAAAGGTTTCCGTTCTTAGCGATAGAAACTAATAAAAGAAATGTCTTTTTAGGCTTATTGTGTATATGTACAATATCGCGATAATTAAGCCTTTGGTCAACTGTTTTCCTGCACCAACGCTGTCTTCAAAAATCGACGCGTAAGTAACTATCAGCTAAGACTTTCGATACTGCCTTTAGTCCTGCTGAAGCTGTGCCCCCCGCCACGCATCATCCTAGAGCTCGGAACTTTGTACCGTCTACCGCGTGATGCATTACATTTACTCTGAACAGGAAATCTCTGATTGCTGATTCAAACACATCAGCGGTCCTATATATTCCATTTCATATTATCACCTCATCATCATATTATCATCTCAAGACGCGACTCATATAAATTCATAAGAGATCTTCATTGCCACGGCTTAAATTCTCCTTTTTCACACGTCAGTGTGATCTCCGTGTGATCTATTTTCTTGTGTTAGCTTCCCTAAAATTATTTAGTATCACAGCACATCAAGCTACCGGAAAGACGTGATAAAAATAGCATATAGACAAAAATACTATATAGTAAATAGTAGATATTTGATTGTCTCCAACCGAAGAGATATACGGTTGAATGTAACAGTAGCAAAAACGTGTGGCAATAATAGCGTGATTGGTAATGGCTGGAAACGGCGTTTGCCATCACTGCCGGTGTCGTATCCTTGCTACCAACAGTACCTCAAAATACTTAGTAATAAACCATTAATCTTATATCTAAATCATTAGACGTGTACACGGGCGACTAGCAGTGTCAAATCCCATCGGGAGGTGGCGTCGATCAGCGATACGAGATAGCTATAAACAGTAGCAGGCGCTGCAAAGCTGCAGCCGGTTGACAGAAGCGAACAGAAAATTTGATTTGCTTTTGGGTTTGTCTCGACGCTTGCCATCATCGCGCAGCCGTCGTTGTTAGCGCGAGCAATCCGAAACGGTCGGTCGGTGGTTGTCAGAGGAATGACGTCAGAGCTACGAAGCGTTACCGTCACCTCAGGGCGTCTGCTCACGGCTTGCATTCACAATAGACGACGGCGACGATTTCGGTTGTTAGGACATTGTCTTGGGCCGCCGCCGTCGTCGTTGTCGTTGTCGTTGTCGTCGATTTCAACTCCAACAACGGGAAAATAGCAGCGCGACAAGCGGCAAAAAACGAGCGAGAGAAGAACGGCGGCAAGCGTCTTTATTACCGCGCGTCAGACGGCAAAGCAATGGGGGCACATGTAGATGCGTATGCGCACAAAAAGCGGTGTTAAGTGCTATATTTTTTAGTAGAGCATGAAAGTGCAATTATTGTTATTACTCAAGAATTACATAGCGAGTATATACATTACGTATTCTATTATGATCTTAACAATATAAACAGCAACAAAATCAACACCAACAATATAATAATAACATGTTGGTTACAATGATACTGGTAAAATAATCATTCTACTAGTAGCAGTGCCTGCGGATGGCCAATTGGATGATATATAGATGGGCAGACAGGGCGAACTCGACTCTATGGCAAAGGGCGCTCGCTTTAAGAACTTCAGAGTCACTGGTCATAGAATTGCATTTAGTGAAATGAACTAAGAAAAGAAACATCAATTGTTCCAGCAAAATGATGTCTTCTTGACCGGTTGTTGCTGAAACATCATTAGTGAACGCAACGAAATTATAGAACGAAACAAAAAAAAAAAAAAAATGGAAAAAGATTAAATGATACTGAAGATCATTTCCACGCGATGACCAGGGGAGGGCATCATATCATGGGCGGTGCGGCTTTGGTGAACTTAACAATAACAGTTTCTCCATAGCTGTAAGCATTTATTACATCTGCCACTCGCGCGCTGCTAGAATAGCGCGAGATACTATGGAAAAGGCACACCGGCGCAATACAATACTGCTTAGCTGCCCCTCGTTGATTTTACAGCGACGTAGCTAGCAGGTCCTCGGCTGGTTTTTGGGTAGCACTTGATAACACTGAAGTACTACGAGCCGGGCGTCCTCGGCGGTGGTGATGGCGTGAAGCAGTCGTAATGAATATCTCAATTTTTTTTGTTCACTCGTCAGATGTTTGAAGACAACACAAATGGCCATCACGAGTGAATATTCTGAAGTGAGGGGCTGCGCGCACCGCTAGTGAGACTAATTAAAGTTTTTAGATCGGTACAAGACACGCTGAACGTCCAAGGAGGACTCCGGCAAGATACCGGCAAAGACACCCATGTGTATAGCCATAACACCTGTTATAGTGAACAGCGGATGGCGGTGATATATACCTCCACGAATCAACCTGGTGGGTCATTTTTTCAAGTTAGTATGACCGTAATCATACGAGAATTATAGTACTAATCATAAGAATTGTGATAGGCAACAGCATCGTTCAAACGGCCATCGAAATCTCAAAAATCAGGCAAACATCATAGGTGGATAGAGTTAATGTGTAAAAATATAACCTGATATCTACTAATCAGATCTGGCGCTTTTCCTGAATTTCAACCAGCTTACTGCCCGTGTGATTGTGTCCGTACAGTTGTCTGTGTTTATTGACATACGTTTACGACAAACTAAACTTGTTTCACGGTCGAACGTCATAAGCCGCTCTGAATTGATCAGTGAGTACCGCGACTTGTTTTATATAAGCAAATAGATATTGAAGTAGTTCGGAATCATCGCAGGAGACGATCAAAAAGCAAAATAATTACGCTCCGCATGTTTGTTCTTCCACACGTCTAGCGAACGACGAGAACGGCAACTAACCCGTGACGACGACGACCAGAAAAAAAGCAACAAATCTCTCTGCAGTGTGACACACCCTACATGCGTGTATCATAAAACCGGTTATATACGCCGTGACCCATTTTACTCAGTCGTACCTTTTCAACCCAGCCAGTAGCCCAGCGGCCCAACGTATACAGTATGTACATTCACGAACACAAACTTTTAGCTACGTATACAAAAACACCTAATGCAATGATAAATGAACTAATCAGGGATTCTTTTTTCAGTTCTATGCCAACATAAGTCCTGTCGATAGCGTGAGCTCTCTTTGGATTTTTTCGGCTCGATGCCACATCAGCGGCATCCGCTCAGTACCTGTGCCGAAACGCTAGACACGTAAACGTCAAGTATGCATTCGAAATGCGGTTCGTCTTGGGCAAGTTCCGTATTGCATCTTGCGTCTTCGATTCGGGTCGTCCAAACAGCCTCACGATACTGTTGTTGCTAACTGTCGTGACCGTCTTCTGGTTACGCATCACCAGAGCTACCCAGTATTTGAAACCATCTTCGTTATTAGACGACCCTTCAGGGTCTACACGAGCAATACTGGTTGATATGTGTTAGTTAATCCCGTCCCTTGGCGTGCCATGGAATTACCACAGGAAGATAAAATGTTGGCCTTCAGATACATCGACTCATTGCATACTATTATAGACGTATGTTCCTGGAAGACTGCTTTTACGCAGACGCATGCGATCGTAACTGCGCTTTATAAATGATGCTAGCAATCCTCAAGCTTAAAAGGTTCTAGCTATACCTCTATTGGCTCAACTGGCAACGACAAGGCCTTGCCCTTTTCCACCCCGTTTGTAGCATAAATAAAATACATTATAATAAAATCTACTCTGTTGTACTTGTAGATTGGACGAGAAGACGTCGATGACGACGACGACGACGACGACGACGGCGGCGGCGGCGGCGGCGGCGGCGGCGGCGGCGGCGGCGGCGGCGTATACCCTCGACATTCGATTGTGGCACTCGTTTTCCTTTTGTTAGTTGTACATAAGTCACGCGCAAAAAACAAGCGGCTAGCAATTGTCAACGTGCATACAATGTCTCTTTCTTTTTCTACTTGTGCTCCCGCTTCGTTTGTTCTTAGCAGGCGTAAACGGTGACAACGACGATCAATAAGTAATTTGCAATAGAGAAATTTCAGCCGAAATTTCAGTTGGGTTGGACGCTTGTGTTGTGGTCGTTAACCGCCATTGGGCACCTAGGTTGAGCCTATACCAGTAGACAGATGGTGCACTCAGAGCTTCTGTACGACGGTGATGTTCGAAGGCGGAAATCACAAAAGGCCGAACACGAACGTATGCTGTCTGCTATATGATGTTGTCCGCTGATGATCTGCGTTCAATGACGTTTAATGCTACGTATATTTCTTATGATGACGGTTGTTATCAATTGTTCCGCCACTTGAAACTTGCTACGAAAGAGCCATAGTACAAATAATGACTGTACAAAGAGATAGATGGATGAAGAGAAACAAAAGCTTTGGTGGACAAATGCTTATGATGTAGTAAACAGAACCCACGATAGTTGGCTTCGGCCTAATAGTTTTAATAATTTTGCATTTTAAATTGCTCCATTGTTAGAAATCCGCATAAGCGACCTTTGTGTTCGAGTTTAATAGAAAAAAGACTGGAAAGCCATCGTTTCACTGTTGATATTGCATTATTTTATTTATCGGTTTACTTCAGAGGACTGCAGTGCCCTTGGCGGCAAGGTGCAATGAAGCGTTTGGGATCAGAGACCTGATGGGTAGCAATAAGGTTCCGCTGTACTGGTGTCTTATTCACCAGTTTCTATATAATAAACTCCTATGAAACTGGGCATTTCACCGGATCTTGTTTATGATTGAATAGATGACAAGGATCCGTAGCAAAAATATGTGTTATCTCACTCGCTCGATCGGAGCAGTGTTTCGTACATACACATATGTAAATCTAACTATAGAACAACTAGGTCGAACGTAACTACTGGCATGCACTTAACAAGTATGTTACCGTTGACCACCCGAACTTTCGGCGGGACGATAATCGTTACTAACCGCAAATAGATCAGCTAGTAGACTAACATAGACATGTTGGAAAAACGCTAGATAAAACAACCCCCAGCTATGGTGGGGGGTAACATCTTGATGTTGTACCAGAAAAGCGGTTCCGAGCAATAGCCGAAAGCTATACAAGAAGGTAAAACTATTACTTATGCGAACTTTACTTGACTGTTATTACTTACCGTGCGGATGTAATTGATGGGGAATTAGACGATGATTTGTTCCCGTCGACGTATTGTTACTGTGATGATTAATATGACTAAGTACGCTGTTACTGCTACTGCTACTGCTGCTGCTATTCGTGTGCTGGCTATGATGATGCGGATGCTGTTTAATTTGCTGCGACTTATCGTCGGACGAAGCGACACCCCCAGATCCTGGCACTCCTGTCGGGGACGGATCCGCTCCCGAGCCCATTGTTACAGCAGCAGAGACTCTTCGTAGAGCTCTATTTCCCCCGGTCAGGCCGCCGCCAGTTTCCGCTATCATCAAATCGCGGTCTCTGGCGTCGGGCCCGCGGACGCCGACGCCTCCGCAGCCGCCGCCGCTGCTGCTGCTGTTCCCGTCAGGTCCTGTCAAACCATCGTCGTCGTTATCATCATCATCGGCCTCATTCGTCCGCGTTTTATCATCGTCCTCGCCGTTTTCGGACGGCCTATATAGTAGAAAAAAGCGTTAGTCATCATAGCCAGTTTAAATGGCTGTGTATCTTTAGAGAACCGTATGCTGTGGTTGAAGTAGGCATTGAGTGCCTTCTCCGTTGTCTGAGAATGATCTAAATAGGCTGTGCTATCAAAATGCATCAACTGAATATTGGCTGTAAACCTTCGATTGATTGTATTCAAAAGCACAAGAGAACTAGTAAGTTATCCCATTTATCTGTTCGCATCTGGACACAATGATGCATTCACTGAAATAATACGATGCATAACACAAGATATATATTTAAACCGTTATGATTTCTAGACTCGGAACTTAGGGCATGGGCGATACTTACCTATTGCGCGGCTCCCATGTCATCTTATTTTCCTTCTTGAGCCGACGTCGCGCATTGGCAAACCACGTCGATACCTGAATTGCAAAAAGAACCCTTTGTTTGATGTTGTCTTATTAAACTATTTGCACCTACTGTTCCAGCAGCCCGCCCTTCGCCCCATTTAGACAGGATGCCATCGCGTGCTCGCTTGCATTTTTGCTCTCTCGATCCGAACAGAAAAGGATGGAGCAACTAGAACTTCTTTTGCCCACCGCGGCAACAAACTGATTATCATCCAACAACTTTCCCGAAACCTGCCTTTATGTGTAGTCATCACACATACGAGTAAACTGTGTGGACATCGCAACTACAGTTTGCAATCGAAACGGAAGTTTAGGGTGATTGTGTGTGTGAAGCAGAAAAAACACGTCATAAACGTATGTTGCGACGCCTTTGCGTTACTGAAACGCCATGTGTCAACTTGAACTCAAGCACTATCCAACCTCAATAGATGATGAGTCACCTAAGCAAAATAATGAAACCTATTGTAGGCGTTTCTCGTAGGCAGGATCAGGTAGCAGTCGATAGAATAACAACCATCAAGTACGCTAGAACATCAACTAAGCTTGTCCACACATCTGGACAAGCAGACACGTGCGGACTTATGTTGTATAGGGCTAGACAACAAGTACCTACCTGCGTGAGGGTCATCTTAGTTATGATGGCAAGCATGATCTTCTCGCCCTTAGTGGGGTAGGGGTTTTTTCGATGTTCGTAAAGCCACGCTTTCAACGTATTTGTCGTCTCCCGTGTGGCATTCTTCCGACGAGCGGCCGCATCCATTGTCGACGAATACCTGATTGATTTGTATGCAATAATAAAATGAGAAACAAACGCAAAACTTATTTCCTAGCAAATACTATGAAACTAGCGAAGGCGTATATTCGGCTACTAGCCACGAAACAATGTATTTCAAATACGACGTAGAGGACTGATGTGTGCGCGTCCGTGTTGTTGTTGTTGTTATGACTATCATCAGACTATTCGAAAGGAAATCTCGCTGAAGGTCGCGTACGTTGCTGATCTAACGTAGTTTTGACCTATCCTGTAGATTTTTAGAAACCACGGTCGACATTTCTAGCCATGATTGAACAAAGTCATTTACAACAATTTCTGACATGTTAAATAAAGTGATTCCGTAGAAATTTTTCAACAGAGCCCCTTTCTACCATGTAAGAAGGACCCGTATCGTTATCAGGTGATACTAATGCCTGGATCTTCCCGCGGGATCAGCGTCTCACAATCTATCAATAGAGTCGTATCGCTGGATATCTCGTTGATGGCGATCATTATTACACGTTGTGTCAGTCGCTATGGGCCGCAGTCAGCCAGCACTGTCGATCCCGGGCAGACCGCTAGTAGGACACGAGGCCTATATGGGCAGGTAACGTAGATACGAAGAAATACTACTATTACTGCTGGACCAGTGTCAGTCATGGAGCAGGTTCAGACGCTACGAAGAACAGAGATCACTACCAGATCGTGCTATGCAGCCCACGAAGTAGAGTCAAACTGAGAGGGGGGTAGAAGGGACTAAGGCTGAAGTCGGCCAGATCGTTGGAGTGGGAACCCGCGGAGTCGCTGCCTACCTACACGCTACCGACCCAACTATAGACTGAATACAATCTGTAGTACCTGAAACATCGATAGTAGCGGCAACAGCCCTGTCGTTACTGCTACTGCTACTGCTCCTACCGCCGCCGCCAATAGAACTTATTGTCCATTCATTGCTCTGCCACCATCGCATCTCTGCTGCTGTTGCGACGGCTTGAAGTTTCGAGATGGCATCTCGTAACCGATGTCTCGCGATTGTTTCGCCCAAACTGCCTACCACCCGACCCGACTGCCACAACTACAAGTAGGAGCTACTTAGAGAATCGAATAGCGAACACAGGCAAAGAGCGGACTCGAGCTCGTCTAGAGCTCACAGCGTAGATGGTAGTAGCAATAAACGCCGAGCGAAAGCCGACAAACGACACGCCAATAGATGGAGGAGATGATTTTCTAATTCTGATACGTATCTAAGTGACTTTAGCGTACAACAGACCCAGCTTGGGAGGTCTCTACTGGCCAATGAGCATCGCAGTAGTGCACAAGATCCATCCTATACTCATCATTCTCTCTTCTGAGTTTTGTTTAGTAGCACTATTACCGAGGACCAAAAGAAAGGCAAATCTGCGCGCAGGAAACTAACCTATGATTCAGACTAATATTAATTTCTTAGATCAGAATGTTCTGGCGATTGAGTCTGGTCCATGTAATACGGTGCGCGAGTTGCACAACATGTGTGGAAATCATTTCCCTATGTGTGGAAACCTGATAGCAGAGCCATTTTTATAATTTTTAAAGAAAAATCGCACCGTCGACCCGCTCGCCTAGACTAGACAATACGAGTAATTGAATGGGAGACGTAATATTTACACAATCAAAAAAGTCCTCTGCGTACGACTGCCAACGGCTGACCGAGCTACAGGAAGAAGGTCCTTCACCATCTTGTCCTTTTCGTCTACATCGTATTTGATTGCTGAAGTAGTCTCGAGTTCGGCCTCCGGTGCATACCGCGACTCCATGACTTCTTAATGGAGTTTGTAAATATCACCTCACCACGTAGGTCAATCAATATCACTCTGAACCTATTTGTATAACATGCAACAAAATTGTAACTCGCTTTCATCCATAACATTTGAGTGAGTGAAGTGCATTCACGGAACCCTTTCGAGTTCTCGCCTCCATAACAATTTAATTTTCTGCTTTATATATATA